ACTATTGCTGAATGTAAAATTTGATTTCGTGCACGTCAATAAAACCGTTGTTAAAATAATCTAAGAAACAATTGAAAGATATCTACTTAACTCAAAATGAGACAAAGTTATTGTGAGCTAGTTCTGGCTAAAGTAATCCTTGCTAAAAAATATGAAATTAGCTTTTCCATTCCCAATATATTTGGCAAGTAGGAAACTGTTTACAAGTCTGTAATAAACATACATAAAAAAATACATACATTTTAATAATCTTTGAAACAGGAAGTGACTAAGTATCTAATTGGTTATTCATCGATTCTGAAAAAAATACACTTTTTGAGTTACTACATTATTGCATTAACAATGCGATATGCTCAGTTCCAAAAAAAAATCATCGTCACTGCAAGGCCGTAGGCAAAGGTAACATTACCATCATTTATAATTCATCAAGTTTAATTATGAATAACCTATAGATTCTGAACTGAATACACACTTTAGAAACTCGCTTTGGACCAATCTAGCGGAAAACGCGGCGGAATTTGCGCACTCGCTATTAAACTCAATCCTGACAAGATTAGTAGGAGTAGAGCTCCTTGTGAAAGAGTTGGCCCAGGGAAGTACTGCCACCTTACGTATTTCTGCCGCCAAGCAGTAATGTTACCATTACTGCGTTCCGGTTTTGAAGGATGCTAGTGAAATTACTAGCAGTCTCACGACTTGTCAACTTATGTCTTAGGGCTCATTCAGGCGCGGGCGCGCGGGTCTTGGCGTCTTCCCTTTTACAGTCCCGAAGAGGTTACGAGCGAGTAGACCAAGTACTGTGAACCGAACCAACACCTGTCCGTGCGGCGCTTCACTGTAATATGAATACCAGGGCAACAGAACAGACCAGAAGCAATCTAGAAATATAATTTCCCAAATAAATTTAAATATGAAATAAATAAAAAAGGAATTTTTAATATTTGTATCAATTATCCAAATATTCTTAGATCTTTGACACCGCTAGGGTTTCTGTATAATGTGCGTACCAAATAACCCCCATTTGTTGTACTTGCGTGTTCTTATCACGATTGAGGATAATAGCGCCTGTGATTTCAGCTAGATTTGTTCTAGACCGATTGAATATTTTTTATACGTACTAATTAAGGCCAATTATATAACAAACAAATATATGACAAAACAATATGTGAATTATTAATTACTGCAATTCACATTTGCATATAGCAACTTATTATCTTGAATATAATCAGGCCGTGCCTTGTATTTAATTTTAATTTTTATTGCGAACTATATAAGGTACTAATTTGTTACCTGACAACCTTGTAAAAAGCACGGTTTTGAAAAAAAAACATTTACTATGGAACAGCTGTTTTTATTTATACGATTTCAAGGGGGTTTTATTAGCAAAAAGTTGTTTGATGCCGTGAGAACAAAAACAGCTGTTTCATATACCTCTTGGATGAGAACTATGAAACATAATATTACATTTAATCTATTAATACCACTTACAAATATATATTATTTATATCGATTTCAAAATCGGTCCATTTCAAAATGTATTATACTTTAATATTATTTTTCTTAATTAACTAACACTAATTTTAAAAACGCAGAACGTTTAGTTAAATATAAACTATATTGCAAAAGATACTTTTTTTTATATATTTATAACACTTTTGCACTGAAAAGCATATTTAAAAAATAATCTATATAAATGTTTATATACTATTTTATTTTACTAAATGCATAAACAAGCTCCATATTTTTTTACTGTTTCTGTTATTTTGAAAAAACGCTACATGGTCTACGGTATTCTTTAACATAACTTTATTAGTGCAAAAGTGTGTATTTATTATCACATGGGAATGCTATTCTAATAATTTCAAGGTGTGGATTGATGATGTTCAAATAATAGATCAATTGAGCCGCCATTAATTCAGAAAATTGTTTTATTTAGTTTATTAAAAATGATAAAAATTTGGGATCCATATCGCATATAATGTTTTTTCGTATCGGGTTCTTTACGAGTCCCGTGGTCACGACTTGTTTTATTACTAATTTATTAAATATGGTTTTCGGCAAATAGGAACATCGATTCGATTGAATATCACAATGTTTTACCACATCACTATTCACATATTTTAAGTGAAGATCGACAAAGAACAACTTGAACTTCCTTTGACGTGACTAGGTCTGAACCTGTGACTGTGTCGAATGAGGGCCACTGTAGTACATATAGATTATATTTATAGTCTAACTGCAACACGTGATGCGTATTGCTTGATAGCAATTTTTCTTCTTGGCGTGTCGACTCTGACGTTTATATTTGTGAGGACACGCAGGGCATAACAAAAGATATGCCATTGTCTGGGGAGAGAAACCACACAGACATGCGCTCTCCGAGATATAACCCCACCAGTGTATGCACTCCTTGCTTCGGCAGACTTGGATCCGCAGCCTATTTAAAGACTTCCAAGTTTGTCCAGGTAGATCATGTCCAGGAGGGAGGTGCTCCGACAGCGGGATGAGTAACGGGGTATTGATTAGCAATTATGTTTGTTTTTAACCGACTTCAAAAAAAGGGGGTTCTCAATTCGACTGTATTCTTTTGTTTTTTAGAGAAAATTACTTATAAATAGAAAATATGAATTAAGTTATGGTGAAATTAATCCGACCATTGCGGAAAACATTATTGATGAGAAAGGACGCGATTTTGGTTTGTTTAAATTTATAGTGAAAAGACATAATAATTAATAACACAGTCACTAGAGTTTAATTTCTATATCTGCTGTAAAGATTTTATGCTACGAAATAAAGACATTCAATTTCAATCTTCCGAGGTATTTTATAATAAACATTCTCTATTGCTTACGTAGATATATGTTATTTGAACATCTGCAGTCCACACCTTCAAAACCGTTATTAACTATCCAAAAATCTTATTAGCTAACATAGCCTCGTTAAGAGACTGTGAGCTCACCACGGACTATCACACTCGGGTGCTACAAAGGGCTTATATTTTGCTGGAACACATATTTATAAATAGGGTTTATATAGTCTATATATCGACCCCTCCTATGTAAAGTACCATACGTCGAAATTGCCAAGTTTACAGGGAAGCGTTTTAAAGTTTTGAATTCACTGAAATGCCTAACACGTGACTGTAGCGTTTCTCGATTTTATTCGGCAAAGCTCATTGCTCTAGATATCATGATTTATTTTACAATTTTATACTGTCACCCGACCCGCGCAATCTCACTTTAGTTTACCCGCTTGTTGGCCCACATCTGCGTTAGGATAAAATAATAAAATAAATTGTGGTTGTTCGTCTAGTCGATATCTAGGATTTTATAATACTTTATGTGACTAAGGAGCTATGCTTAATAAAACTGAGAAATGCTAAAGTCACGTGTTATGTTCATTTCAGAGAATTCAAAACTTTAAAACGCTCCCTTGTAAACTTGGCAATTTCGACATACAATACTTTACGTAGGAGGGGTCGATATGAATGTCGACATATAAAGTTACGTATAAATTATATGTGGCTGCTTCCGTGACAGTACAGCACTGGCGAACGCGCTGTTATTATACGTTAAATACATGTTAATAATATAATATTCGAGACAATATATTTAATTAGTATATAACTTTCGCAAACAGGAGCATTCGCCAGATCTGTACGCACCTTCAAAGGAAGTTATCATACTTCTTAACACGAAATTGGTTTGAACCGGTCTGAAAAAACTTTATATCTATGCAATAAGAGCGGTCGCTCAGAGGGCAATAGAACTGGCTATGCTCGATGTTTCTCTGAAGGATAAAATTCGTAATGACAGAGAACCAAGGTCACCGACATACCACGTGCACTAAGCAAGCTGAAGTGGCAGTGGCCATATCTGTCGGAGAACCGATAACTGATGGGGAAAACGAGTTCTAGAGTGGAGTCCGCGACTCGGCAAACGTAGTGTAGGACGCCCTCCGGTCAAGTGGAGTGACGACCCGCGAAAGGTTGCTGGCGGCAAATGGATGGGACAAGCTGAGGACCGGACGAAATGGCGCACATTAGGGGAGGCCTATGTCCAGCACTGGACGGCGATAGGCTGATGATGATGACGATGATGATCACTTGGAATGTCGACAAGAAACGTATATTCGTCATTTCGCACTTATTACATGGACTTAAAGGCTTTTTTACAGACCGATTTAATGCGATTTCCTGTCGATAAGAGGTGACTACCAAACTCGAATAGCTCGGGAGTTTGGACTTTAGATAATACTGCAATTTGTTATTTAAACTTTCGCACTGGCTAGTGTCTCGTATAGGGACATTTTGGAACTGGGGCACATTTGAGTTATGGGATATTACGAAAGTAAAGCAATCAGCAAAGTAGACACAACGTTTGTAAGAAACAGTTTGAAGGGCCAACGTTGCCCAGTTGACGTCAGTAAACATAATAATTCGTTTCCCGGACTATAGTGGTGGTGACACTTTGCCAGTAACTAAAGTCTTATTGAAATTGGTCCTTAAATTTTACCAACCATATAACACCTATATATTAAATATGTGCCCGAAAAAATACATAAAGTTGAAAATGTCCAAAAAATCTAACTACAAAAGGAAGACTTACTTAGTACGATTGCACAAAATATACAGACAGACAACACAAACATTTAATTAATAAAATTATTTATAAACTATACTCGTATTATTGTGATACTGTCGGCTTTTGAAAGTCAGAACTTTGTAAAATCCCTTAGGACGTTAGAAATAAATTAACGGTAGTTTTGTGAACTGTTCACGGTAGATTCTTGAGATATTAAGTAATAACCAAGATACAAACTGAGCCCCAGACTGTCTCTTAAAGAAATTATCACTCTTAGTATAAGTAGAAAGAGTTAGTCCAGGAAATTCCTGCCACCTAACGTATTTCTGCCGCCAAGTTGTACACCTGGTGGTAAGCGACACGCCTGTTCATAACAGTTGCAGTGTCACTCGGAGCTTTAAATTGCGGATCCTAAGGATCACTGCCACTGCGTACGTCGTCCGGAAATATTAAGTTGACAAGTGCCAAGTGGAACGCAGTAATGGTCACATTACTGTTTGGCGAAATGCAGAAATAGGTAAGAAGCTCAACTGCTACTACAGTCCAGGTTACAGTACAGGTCGCCTCTACGGAGAGAGTATTGAATAGGCCACCGCTATTGGGGACTTAACACGTTATTCAAGGGTTGTGAACCTTCTTCGGCATAGAGGTTATTATGGCTACTAATCTTTCACGAGTGTACAGTCACACATCAAGCTAAACACTGTTCCAATATCGCAGGGTTTCTTAAGCTTTTCCTAGTCATGGACCCCTCTCTAAAAATATCAAAGTGACCACGAACCCTTTCCAGAAAGGAATAATAAAGGAGGTTTAGCTTTTATTGTTTGCGATTAAACTTTAAGTTGACGTGACGGCTGCTGCTGCATATACTGAATTAGAACCATAATTAAAACGTCAGGCATTGACGTTAAAGGCACTTACGTGCGTTTCGCTCGCTCCAATAATCTATGGCTGTCGAAGGGCGCGAAAATTCAAAAACGTCACGCGTCTTACCTATTTATTCACAACGTATTGTAGACCAATTTTAATATTATTGCATTGTATTAGGTAGGCTCACCATGAACCCCGGCGATTCATTACACGGACCCCTTAGGTCAAGAAACTCTGCAATATCGCCTTCAGTGCAACAGAATAAGATACGTCAATATGTAGCATGATGGATGACCTCTCATTTGAGAAGCAACCGTTCTTCCACCAGCGCTCATGGTTATCAGCTTATGCATTTTCACCGGATTCACATTTTGAACATGCAATTACCTCAACACCATCGGTATGATAGTATAATGAGCATATTCTCTATTAACTAGTCACAATCGAATTCCACAATGAACAGTTCACACAATCGCACGTTATTGGCTACTCAAATAACAAGGACAGCTCCCTCGTGTGTAACAAATGAAGGCACCCTTGGCCGCGCCGCGCTGCGACTTATCTACATACGTGCTGTTGGTACTTGTAGGGTTACTGGTACTAAGGAGATTGTGTTGTTGGATCATTTGCCAGTTTCATCATTTTAGCATCGGTAATGGCGAACGTGAAGAGACTATAGTGACGTCTAAAGGATAAACCACACTTACCGAGGCAGAATCGGCTTAAGGCGATCATGTTTTAATCACATTTGTTGCATTAAGTCGATTCGCTGCCTACGCAGACGTACGCGTCGATTGTTTCTAGACGAGGATCAGCCGTTGTCGGCGTGCATACGAACGCGATCGGAAATTCACACGAACGAGAGCCGCGTTCGTACGAACCGATGCGTCTTCAGTAAATCGAAATTTCTGACATCGGCTGGATACTATTTGGATACGGCCACCGCCCGGGCGGTGATTGATTCAACCCTATATTGACTACGGCTTGCATGTTCAGTTTTTGTTACTGATAGTGTAAGTTGTATAACACGAATAAATGAATAAAAACGCATGTCTTTTTCGCTCTTAAGTTCATGGACATAAATCTTTTTCTCACCGGTTTAATGCGATTAGTGTGGTTTATCCCTAAATATGGATCTTCAATCTCATACAAATAACGACAGTCAGTCTAATGCCAATTCTTCCATCTTGAGATTCTGTCTTTATGTAAGTACGCCATAAGCTAGTGAAGTGAAACTCGCAGAAGAGATCTCCCAGCACCGTCCGGCCCTACCTGCGTCGCCGCAAGACCTGCACGCATAGGTACAGCAGTAGCAGCATGAGCGCGCCGCAGTGTACAGCCAGCAGCGCAGTGGCGGCGGCGGCCTGCAGCGTGCGGGCCAGAGCCGTGAGCAGAGCGCGCGCGGCCCGCTGTGCGGCGGCCTGCGCCTGCGCCGTGGCGAGCTCGCGCCGCCATCATCCCGTGCCGCATTTGCCGCTCTCGAACACGCCCTGGGGTATCATTTTATTTTCAAATATTCGCTCACTGACCCTCTTGTTAAGCAGCTGGTACCACACAGTATAGAAACAGTGTTTTGTTATCGCATGTTCTGCATTTACAGAATCTTTGAAATATTTGTCCATCTTGGAAATGGGGTTAATGAACTTCTAAATTTCTGATGAGGAAGTAAACTCAGGTGTAAAAATAGTTTAAAGTCACATGGAACTAATGGGAATAATTTTGACATGCCAGGGTTACAATTCTTCAACATGGAATTGAGTATACGGGATTACTGGGAATAAACGTATTTTTCTACTCCTGTATTTTAGTCTGTCAATTATAACTTCATAAACCATATCACAAAAGCGCACTTTTTAGTTCTGAACCAAAATTCTATTATTTATGGTACTCTCTGCTGAATTGAAAAAAGAACGTCGTATTTTTGCTAATAATAAGTCTCCTCAAACGCGTCACTATATTCCTTAAAAGAATAACGTTACATATTTGTTTAATTAATAAATTCAAATTAAATAATAATAACGTACACACTCAACATAGCCCCGCACTAGGGAAACCCTGTGTCGCGGGTGCCATGGACACACACATAGACAACCACAAATTACACCCAAACTCACGAGAGAAATAAATGTAGGCCATACAAATATTTCTCCCGGCCCAGGAATCGAATCTGGGACCTCTGCGTGGCAGTCCGGTATGGTAGCCGTTCGGCCACAGAGACAGTTGAAGCTCTATTATTTTATTAAATAACATGTTACATAACAGGTACAAAGACGTAATCATTTAGCAAAAAATAACTGTATAAAACATTGACTTACAATTATATGGACGTCGAGTCCGCGCTAAAAAGTGTCCGAACTTATAGGGCGTTAAAATCGTATACAGAGCGTCATTCACGCTTTAGTCTTCGTTTGTTCGACTGACAGCGAAGCAAGCAAAATTAAACAGTACTGCGATGACATTACAATTTAAATTCAACGTTTCAGCTTTTTCATATTCCTTTACATGTCACTACGTTTAAATAGGTTGACTTGGGACATTTTTTTCGTGATTTTTGTATTAGACCCGTCATCCATTTATTTGTAAGTCAATGGTATAAAATATCAAATATGACGCGACTCAAGCGCTCTACTACCTCTTTTTGCTCTACTATCTCTTTGTGTTTTTTGTTTTGCAGCATTTGTTTGGCATTCGTGTGTGTTTATTGTCGTGGATTGTTACAAATAAACTTTAAATATTGGTTGTGTTTCATTATTTTTATTTACGCATACAAAAAATATTGTATGCAATGCAATGACATAATTAGGTCTTAAATCGCGTACCTATTACTTAGGAAAACACGGTTCTCGACATTAAGTGCATAATGATGCAACGATTAGATACTTAATGTCCTTGTTTATGTAAATAACCTCTGTTTTCATTTAAATTTTTTGTTTCTGATTTTGTTTTGTAATTGCTCTAATTCATTACTTTTATTTAGACGTAAATTAAGCATTAAGTCTCTCGTCGCGCAACTCCCACTGTATTTCCGTTTTTCACGAAGTACATCACATTCAGAAAAATTGTTACTTCCTTTTTTAAAAAAAGCTTCTTCGAAACCCCGTATAGCAGTTTTTTTTTTCAAATAATATATTTGGACATTTTATTATCTCGAAATAAAGCTTTTATGAAATTAGTTATTAATTTTGAATATCTATTTTACGTTATCACCTCTTCTATTATTATTACAGAAGGTGCGATAAAGCCAGCACACACGCGTGTTTAAAACTAAACAGATGACATAAAGCATCAGTACCTTGCGGAAGAAAGGCGAGAAGTTAACAAGCGTGTCCCGGGTGAGTGGCGCGGCATGGAAGGGACATCGCTTGTCGGTGGAGCACACGGTCAGAAGGCGACGAAGGAAGGCCTCCAAGGCTGGCCGACGAGACCGGGCCACACCCTCGGAGGACCACAGTTGCCGTGACGGGAAAGGGATTGATGCCACCTGCGAATATTTCAAATAACAGTTTGAACTAAATTTTCAGCACTGGTCACTGGTTTCTTACTACAGCATGACTTTAAAATTAAAATAACACGAAAGTACTGAAATTTTTTCGGCAGACGAAATACGTCATCATCAATATTTTAGGCGAAATACGTCAACGGCTTTACATACACCGTTAGTTGTTGAAAAAGCAACATTTATTTTCGGTATTCGCCAATTTGCTCATAGTACAGTGGCCAAGCAAGTTATATTTAATAACAGCGCCATCTATGAACAAATAACAAGTACTAAAAGCACCTGGAAGAGTGAAGAAAAACTTTCATAGATTTTGGCAGATGGCAAAAAGTCGTTAAAAACCATAAACAAAGCACATAGAAAAATTCGTTAGGTCTGCTGGGTCGTGCCGTAGCTCAGTTAGGAGAGCGTCTGGCGCGATATACTGAAGGAACTGGTTCGTATCCAGCCGGATCGAAGGAACTTTTCTTCGTGTTCAATTTCTGAAGAACTAGTGGAGTAATTTTACAAAAAAAAATAAAATTAACATTAGGATATAAAACATCGTGACATTTAGAGCTAAATGTAGTTTCATTTTTGTTTCAAGAATTTTTAATAATAATAATAAAGTACACACTTCTATAAGTCCATCTATCTAGGGGCTATCGCATTAGGGAAACCCTATATCGCGGGTGCCATGGACACACATACATAGACAACGACAAATTACACCCAAACTCACGAGAGAAATAAATGTAGGCCATATAAATATTTCTCCCGGCCCGGGAATCGAACCCGGGACCTCTGCGTGGCAGACCAGCACGTGAACCGTTCGTCCACAGAGGCAGTTATAATGTAAAATAGACGCACGCTTAGGCACAATGACACTCGATGTAAATTGATCACTAAAATTTGGAAAAACATAGATGGCAGTAGTGTACATGCATTAGGACAGATTCCGTGTGCCTCACCTTCGGCCCGTACAGCCTCCGCATGGTCAAGTAGAGGTCGCGGAACCGCCGGTAGCGGCGCAGCAGCTGCCAGCGCTGGTGCGGGCCGAGGCAGATGCGGACCTCGTACTCGTGGTGCGTGGACGCGCCCGCGCCACGGGTCACCCACGTCGGTATGCTCACCACTTCGTCTGGACAAGTCCTCACGCGTTTTAAGCCGAGTCACCGAGGGGGACGCAGGGCAAACTGTTTTGCTTTTTGCTTTTGCACCATAAAATAGTTATTTGTTATGCAAGGCTGCGAAGTTGTTGTTTGACGCGAGTGCTTCAAGCCACGAGACGCAAAACAATTTTTTTGCCGAGCGAAACACACAACTTTTCACCTCACTATAGCGAGGATAATGGTAGATAAAAGAAAAACAGTTGAACTATAAAACATCAGTTTTTTTTTAATTAAAAGAAAAAGTTTATCTTCGGATGCGTTCTGAATTTACACCTCATCGATTTTTATTCTTGCTTGTACATACTTTTCTTTGTGTGATTAAGTGATTATTGAAATTATTTTAATTTTTTCACGATTTAAAATAATTTAATAAACACAATTAGTTATCATAGGCAATTGAATGTCTACCATAATAACAATAAAAAATACCAACGGATTTATATTTGAAAGTTGCTATTTATGATGTCAGTAATACATTCCTGCGAGGTTGCTAGTCTTTACAAATAACCCTGTACAGTCCCGCTGTTGGTCTCACTCGAACAGGCTTGCTGCAGTTAAATTCTTAAATTGCTTTGCAGATGTGTGCAGGTTTTTCATTCCTGTTCATGTTCTCATGTTTCCCTTCAACGGAAGGCGCATGATAAATTACAAATTAAATTAATCATTTTCCCACAAGAGATATTTAAAACAGATTATATAAAGACAGACATTTGCCGTAGTGCATGCAAGGCAAATCGATGCTGGTACTCTGTGGTAAATATGTATAAATGTACACTGCGTTACTTACTAAAATCTATTGGATGTGTGAGGCCAGGCGCTATTGTAGGGTCCTGCAAAAATACAATTTCATTCTTTTTTAAAACATTAATTGCAATAAACTTATTCGTGATTGCATATGTTGTAAGATTAGAATTAAAAAGAAACACGAAGCGTAAATTACTTTGCGATAACTAAGTAATATGCATGTCGTTGCTATGTTGTTTCGTTGCATAACATATGTCCGTTATTATGTTGTTGTTGTATAAAGTACATCACCGTTATGTTGTAATTAAACATTTTTGTTGTTGTATCTGCAATACATTTATGTCTATTTTTAATTCATTCATTTTCATTCAATAGTGACCAAAAATAACTCAGACTTTTTTGGAGACGCAGTAAAATGAGTTTCTTGTGCAAAAGTGTTGTCTGTTTGCAAGAACCTAGTGATTGCAGTCGATAAATATTTCTATCGACTACCGACTGAATGTTGGTTACGCTTATGCAATCAATTTGTTTAATTTCCATCAACATTGTCAATTTTTATAAGTTCATGCATACACAAACTGTATTTAGAACTAAGTCTATTAAAAATACAGTGTGTTGCTTTACATTCTCACCATATTTAAGAAATTAATAATAGAAATAACGCTAAATCATCAAAAAAAAAAATTCTGAAATCTTGAAACAACATTGTAAGTACATAAATCGACCCCTCAGACGTAAAGTATCGTATGTCGAAATTGCCAAGTTTACAGGGAAGCGTTTTAAACATTGACTTACAAATAAATGGACGACGGGTCTAATACAAAAACCACGAAAAAAATGTCCCAAGTCAACCTATTCGAAATTTAAATTGT